CGATTTTTTTCTTAATTATTTTAATAATATTGGTCTACTTAAACAGAAAACCGGTATAGCTCTTGTTAACGATCCAAGTCAAGAGCCGGCCATGGTTACCGAACTTTTATATCTTAAGGCTAAAATGGATGAAATTGTTTCTGGAGCTTTTCAGGGAAATAATACTTTCAACTATACGGTGAAAGAAAGTTTTGAAATGTTCATTAATCAACGTCAGAATAAACCTGCAGAACTTATAGGTGGGTAAACGATAACTTTGATTGTTATAAAAAAAAAACTGGTTTATGTACTTTAATAATATTTTATACAATTTATTTATTTTCAGCAAAGTACGTAGACCAAACATTGCGACTTGGAAACAAGAGTATGGATGATACAGATATTGAAAGGACGTTGAATGAAGTGTTGGTTCTGTTCAGATATATTCAAGGTAATTAATTATATGAGCAATTATGTTTGATAATGCATGTAATTTTTACTGATCGTAATAAATGTTTAGGAAAAGATATATTTGAAGCCTTCTATAAACGTGATCTTGCTAAACGTCTTTTACTAAATAAGAGTGCATCATTCGATTATGAGAAGAGCATGTTATCAAAATTAAGGAAAGGTTGCATTACTCTTTTTTTTCACTCCTATGTTACAGTCTCTGCTACATAAGCGGGCTGTCTCTGCTTAAAATATCAGCAAGTTATTGCCATTGATCTGATCCTGATGGTCAAATCCTGATTTTCAAGCCACAAAGTCCAGCGTCGCCAATAATCACTCTGGCACGTGATGCAGGCAATACTTTGATTAATAATACTGATATCGATACGTCGATTGATTAGTAATATTAATAATAACGTAGGAAAGCCATGTAACCGCGTTATCAATTATTGGCTACGCTGGAACCAATACAAAGCCAACTTCAATGTAACTATCAGGACCGATCGATGTTTAGATTTTGCAAAGACAAAAACTTAACTTCCCATATATGTATTAATTATCATTTACGGCAAATTAATAGAGTGTGGTCCACAATTCACAAGTAAGCTAGAAGGCATGTTCAAGGACATTGACTTATCAAAAGATTTCATGCAGTCTTTCGAGGTATATAATAATGGTTATGTTTTTATAAAGTAAAGGTGAAAACACATATTGACATGTTTCCTCACATTATTTTAGAATTCCAAATCTGGAGAGCCAATTAAGGATTACAAAATTGATTTATACGTTAATGTTTTGACACAGGGATTCTGGCCCTCATATCCTCCATCACCACTCAACATACCACCAAATGTTAGTAGGATTATTTATATTTCGTCCAATTTGATTATATTATTTTGAATAATTTATTGAAACATAGTTTCCAAAAGGTGGTACAATGTCAGCAAATTTTCAGAGATTTTTATCTTAGCAAACACAATGGAAGAAGTTTGAAGTGGCAAAATTCCTTAGGTCATTGTATGTTGGCGGCAGAATTTCCAAAAGTGAGTCATTAATAAATTTCAAAAAAAAGAATGTATTTTGGAGTCTGATGACTTTTATGTTTATTTTTTATTTATAGGGAAATAAAGAATTAGTAGTAAGTTTATCTCAAGGAGTGGTTCTACTACTATTTAACGATTTGCCATACGGAGGAAGGCGAACATACGATGAAATAAAAGAAATGTCTGGAATGGGTAAGGAACGATGTATTATAAAATTTACGCGCATTAATTACTATTTTAAATTGACTAATTTAATAATAGAACCCAAAGAGTTAAACCGTACTCTACAATCTTTGGCCTGTGGTAAAGTTCGAGTTCTTGTAAAGTATCCGAAAGGGCGTGATATTTTTATTACAGATGAATTTTCAGTTAATGAAGAGTTTGAGGCAAAAATTTTCCGTATAAAAATCAATACTATACAATTAAAAGAAACGGTACGTCTTTAGTTATAATAGTTGTTTCCTTGGTTGTTGCTATTTTTGAATGTTTCGAATGGTTTTCCATTTTATAGAAGGAGGAGAATGCGATGACCACAGAGAGTGTTTTCATGGATCGTCAACACCAAATAGACGCGGGATTAGTTCGTATAGCGAAAATGCGCAAGACTCTTTCTCACAATGAATTGATCACAGAGCTTTTGGGAATATTGAAATTTAAACCTCCGGTAAATATCATTTATAAGAAATTAAAAAGCATGAATTTCCTTGACTAACTTATATTGTTTAATATAGATGTCAGACATTAAAAAGCGCATTGAATCATTGATAGATCGTGAATATTTAGAAAGAGATAAAACTGATTCAACAAAATACAAATATTTGGCTTGATTTGGGACGGCGACTCGAACCTTTTTTTTTTTTTTTTTTTTT